TTTCTCATGAGGGATTTGGAGATAACGAACAGTATTCAATATCAAAAGTCCATAAAACAATACAAAATAGGGGCAGAGCAAACACGGATCTCCAAAACATCAGAGGTAGGATCAGGTGCCATGGAGGAGTAAGCATCCCCTGCTGACCGGTCACACCCGCCGTGTGCAAACTCGTCAAACTTTCAACCCTTCAATAATACTTCTCTAACAATAAGTGCATAGATAATCAGTGATATTAATTACAAAATATTCACGATTTCTAATATTCAACCAAGACATACTGCCGTATTCTAAGAGCAGTTCGGGACAGAGGATGAAAAGCCAGGTTTCCCAAATTTGGAAACCCGATGGAAACATATGGGAATCGTGACATCAGTAGTTTCCATATAGTTTCCATTTTATGGAAACCACATAGTGGTTTCCACATAGATTCCCGACATGGAAACAATCAACCTGTGGTTTCCCGTAAGTTTCCCAAGATAGGAAACCATGGAAACATACCCCGGTGGTTTCCACATAGATTCCCGACATGGAAACAATCAACCTGTGGTTTCCCGTAAGTTTCCCAAGATAGGAAACTATGGAAACATGCCCTGGTGGTTTCCATGTAGATTCCCGATATGGAAACAACAAACCTGTGGTTTCCCGTAAGTTTCCCAAGATAGGAAACCATGTAAACATGCCTCAGTGGTTTCCATACAGATTCCCGACATGGAAGCCACCAATGTGTAGTTTTCCCCATGTTTCCCAGGCAGGGAAACTTTGAAAGTATATCTCAATACTAACCCACCTACCTTTTATTTTACAAAAAGTTAAATATTTAATTATGTTACCATATTTTTACCAATGATAGAAATATTTCACATGCTGTATCAAAATAATTAACTTCAAACAGTTAAAATAACTAGATGTGTATTTCTGTGTGATTAATTTAATATTTCAGCACCGTGAACGCAATTCAATTTTAATTCAATTTTATTTTACTGAATTTTATTTAATTTAATTTAATTTTGAATTTGATTTATCACATAAGTTTTGGTAAACTCGTATAGAATGCGTGAAGTGGAATAAAAAAAAGTAAGTGCATGCAGTTATGTAGAAATCAATCATTTCCGATCCCACTTTCTTGAAGCTGTCTATGATGAATGTTCCTTTGAAAAAATGGAAGAGCTAAGGAAGGGTACATTTAATGAAATTATTTACAGAAAAGGTTTACTAAAAAGATCGATTAAAAAGTAAATAAAGAAATATGTCAAGTTACGATTACTGATTAAGGACAGGTGAGACGTTCCTCAATAAAATAATTAAATTTTTTTCCAGTATTTTGCAACTGACATTGAAGAATTATTTTTACATAATTACATGTATTCACAAGACATCAAGGTACCTTACCAGGCATTTGTGTTAGATACCAGAGGTTGGCATTTCTTATATACCGGGGTAATCCGTCAGGAAAAAAATACTTCAGTTGGTTTGTCAAAATTACATTTTTAGTGTTTCAAGTTTTTAAATACAAGTTTAGAAAGTGATAAAGATTTTGTTTTAATATGAATTAATATATTAATATAAACTGGTCAGATAAGAATCATTCATCGAATTGGCTGGGGGTTGAGTATTATCATACTAGTATTTTACTATTAATAGTGAATATTGTTTTTTTTTTTAATTTATCAAATTATTATTTTTATTATTGGGGGTGGGTGGGTTGCTTTTCATTTTTTCCTTGCCCCCCCCCCCCCCCCCCCCCCCCCCCCCCCCTTTTTAAAAAAAAAAAAAACGCTTTTGAAAAAGTCACTATGGTCGGCCTGTGTAATTAGGGACACCTGTCCTCACGTGCCATTTCAGGTGGAGACACGTGCCGCGAAGACACCTGTCACTGTGTATTTTTTGTATATTCTATGTGAATTGAGACGGTTTTGTACCTAAAGGGAACAATGGGCTGTTGTCGAGCATGTACACACACAGTCTCCGACCGAAAATTCTTTTAAATTAAGATGATGATTCGTGTTTCTTTTATCATTTAAAAAATTGTATATTCCATAAATAAAGTTATACAAGAGAACATATTTATAAAATAACCTACATTTAAGAAGTTCAATGAAAGAACAAACTATTTAGAATTTTTATTTCAATTTTCATTACTGATTTAAAATAAAACTATCCTCTTTAGAAATTAAATAATTTTCTATAGGTATTGAATAGATCTTAATTCTCGTCGTGTATAATTATATTAAATCAGAATGACGTTAATAGATCAATGTGAAATCAAAACTGTATTTAATATTGTTGATGGGTTTTTGTGTGAAATTTGTAATCTAACGTACTACAAAGACATTTATTAGATAAATGTTTATAATATAATTCATCACATAAAACGTTTTCTTTTTTTTTGTCTTTCCTTTTTTTGTTTAAATATGTACGCAGATCCCCGTGTAGTAAACGCCTGCACTTTTCGCATGAAATTACAATGTAGGGTCCTAAATGCACATACATTATATTTAACAAACTTTAAAATTTTCAGCCATTTTTTTTTCTCCAAAGGCCATTGCTCTAGATAAAGAAAAGTCTATAATATTTTGCATGATTTTGTTTTCCTTAAGAACAATGGATTTTAAAGTAGTGCATGATAAGGCAATCTATTAAAAGAATTAATTGTATAATTAATTCATTGTATAATTGTCACGATTGTATTTTTGTGCACTTTTTGTTGATTTCATTCTATAAAGGTATGAAGTTTGTCAATACTTCAACAAACATTTCTTTATCTATGTTGTACACTACTTTATTTTTATTCGCCGACATGCTACTCTTTTAAAAAAAAACTTGCGTGACTAATAGACTTGATCTTCAGGCCTGTAGGAAAGTAATTTCCGTTAGAGTAATAAACTAACCGGGATTTTATTTTTACTAGCATACCTTACCAGATTTCTTAACGAAAAAAAAAAAAACATTAAAGAATATACAGGGCGGGACCAGCAGCTAAAGCTGTACGCATAAGTACAGCCCTGCACATCAACGAGTATAGATGACTTTCGACATAATCTTTCCCATGACTTCACTTATACCAATCACGACTAAAATACTGAATTAAAATACTGTTATATTTTCCTGCCTTTGATAAGATGTTAGTTTTGTTCCACCTAGAGATATAACTCTCCTAAGAAAAAGGTTTTCAACATATTCTGATTCATTTTTAAAACAATTTTACGTGTTAAAATGATGTGTGAAATTTTTTTAGCTAAAAGCCAAGGAGTTTAAAGTACAATGTACATGTAGCAATTAGAGAAAAGTCTAGCAGGTCCACCAGTAATATTGATAGCAGGCTCAAAATCTAATTAAACCCCGAAAAGGAGGGAGTTCAATTTTTAATTTAATCCCCCCCCCCCCCCCCCCAAAAAAAAAACACAACAATTTATTAGCAATGAATTATTAATCACCGAACTTTTCAATCATCACTATTGAAATAAAAAAAACTGTTCTTGATAATCATATTATAATTGTAGCTCATTTTCATGCCTTTTAGGATTCCTGTGGAAAGTTCACAATAAAAAAATGTGCTCACTAAAAAATTGTATGTGTTGCTTTTTACATCTATGAAATGTTACCCAGAAGCTTCTATTATGTTTAGGTAAACAAAAAATGGATGTCCATTGTTTTGAGAAAACTAAAATACGTGTCGAATAAAAAAGTAAAATTGCACAATGGCAATATGTAATAAAGATTCTGTGAAAGTTTCATTTAATTTCACCTTAGATTATGGAGATAATCGTGCCCAGTAGTATAAGAGGAGTTGCGGATAAGAGAAAAAGCGTAACAGACGGACGGACGGACGGACGTACAGACGGACGGACGGACAGACAGACGGACGGACGGAAATCCCGATCACTATATACCCTCCCGCTTTTCAAGCGGGGGGTATAAAATGTGCTTTTAAAAATTTAACATCTTTTAGTGTGACATTATAAATTCATAATCATACATGTAACAGTTAAAAGAAGCGGGGACAGGGGGGGGGGGGTACTTTCAGCAAGGACGGCCACTAAAAACAACCAAGCCCCGAAACCCATATCCCGAAGGCAAATAAGTTGAGGTGTCGAGCAAGAAACATTTTTTTTTTCTGCTCTTGCCTCATGTATTTAAGCGCTTTTTTTTCTAAATATACTAGGCCTACACATCATATCGGCAAAAATATTTAGGAGCCCCTCTTTTTATTCCATGTAAAGGGGAAAACTTTTTAATTCTAATATAAGATCTCAACAGTTTATATTTCCCATCCTGCATCGCTCTGTAGGCGCTTTATTTCATTGGTCAATTTCCCGAGGCGCCATTTTTGGAGGATCGAGAAGGACGAAGAAGAAGGTGTAAGCAGCTGGTAAATGTGAAAAGTAAAGATGGTTTCACCACCCAGTGTCTTTAAGACTGTGATAAATGCAATGGCCAACTATGAAGGATTAGTGTACGTATATTTTTGTTAACTTTTTCATTTACGGTAAATAGTTGTAATATTTTGCAACAACAAATCTTCACTATCGGAGGCAACTTTTGTTCTGACGCCATTTTGAAAAGTTGGATACCTAAGTTTTAAATTGTTAAGTGTATATATTGCAGAGAGAAAGAGAGAGAGAGAGAAAAAAAAATTTGAGACAGTGATATAGCATAACATAGATTATGGAGGTCCCAAAGGCACCGTGCATGTGCATGCTGTATGTTGTAAAATGGCAACGTTTCGCCTATTATCATGTTTATTAAAATGTATGCTCCATATGTATGTTCTCTCTCTATATATAAATGAATACTTTTCGGAAGAAAAAATTAAAAAGAAATATTTTTAACCCCGCTCAAATTATCCGGATGATAATAGTTTCACCGAGCATGGTTTCGTAGTTAAATTCAGACCGTAGAACATCCGGTTTGAATACATGTGTTTTCTGACTTTTCGGATAGCCAACTCTTGTTTTTTGGAACTTACGACTTATGGCAAGGTATAAATTAAGTATTTTTGGTTCAAAACTTTGATAAAAGCATCGATATTTTTACAAAAAGTGTCTTCAATCTCAGCTTATCCGATTATTCATGAAGGATATCCTCATCAGAACAGTTGGAATAGATTGTAGGGAATAGCATAACCTTAATCATATGCATGACGATGATATGGAGGAAAAATATACATAAAAAAGTGAATGTAGGTGAAAGCCTGTCCACTTTTCTGAAGAGATTAGGTTTGTTTTATTGTTTATTGAAATAGTTTACTGCTCAAAAGATTTTTTTTTGTAATGTCTAACCTGTTGAGATGAAGATGTAAAAAAAGAAAAGCCTAATAGTGAATTAATATTGATAGTATGTCAAGAAATGCAAATGAATCATCAGCTTGAATTATCAGTTTTTTTCACAATTATTGACCTGAGTAGGACAATGTATAGCGAATAATACATACTCTTTTCCATATCACATCCTAGCCCGAGACACCAATATCAGCCAGAGGGACAGAGGCCCTAGGGCTGATATTGGTCAAAGGTCTGATACAGGATGTGATGTGGAAAAGGGTATGTTTCATTATGTTTATTACAAACTTTGGTTATAAAATACAGAACACTTCAAATTGAGAAGATCAAGAAAATAAGTAAATAATCATGCACAATAAAACTACTTACATACATGTACACAGTATTGTCTTACTGAACAGATTTAGCTGTCATTAGGTCAAAATTGCAAATAATAAGATGCTTCTTATATCTGTATATACAGGTAACTCTTGATAGCTTGAACTTCGATTTCTCGGAAGTTCTTGATCGCTTGAAGTGAGTCTCCGGTCCCGATTTTTTCCACTATATAACTAAGCAGATTTGCTCTTGATTTCTCGAACTCCTGATCTCTCGAAACCCTTGATCCCTCGAAGTCAAAATGCAGTCCCGCTGTGCTGTGAATTTTACCCTTGATACCTCGAAGTGGCTGTGTGTATACCAAGTTATAATGTTCAAACTTTTGCCATAACTGTATATCTGTGTGTCTGTCTGAGTGTCTGTTGTCAACTTAAACCTTCACCATAACTTTAGAACTATACGAGATAGTGGCTTCATATTTAGTATGCATACTCCACTAATGAAGTGCTTTCAAATGGCAACAAGGACAATGATTATGTGATCTTGACAGTGACCTGTAACAGTATGCTAAAAAAAATTGCATTTTCGAACTTTGTTGCTGTGTTTCACAAGCGCATCTTGTTTTTAGCTCTACTTGTCAGAAACCAGAAGAGCTTATGCGATAGTAATGCGTCCGTCCATCTGTCTAGCTGTCCGTCCGTCTGTCTGCAAACACTACTCCTCCTTAAATTTTAGTCTGATTTCAATATAACTTGGCACACAAGTAGACTATACTAAGATACATAATTCTGTGCATCAGTTTTTGATAAGTACAAACCAGTAGAGCTACAGTCTCGACAGAGACTTCTGGTTATTTTTTCTTCCATCCCGGTTGTTGCTAATGCTATTACATAATTAGTTTAAATTAGAATGCAATAGTACCTGGACATAATTTATCATTTCAGAGAGAAGAAAACTGTGTGACTTTAAAAGAAAACCAGTGAGATAAAATTATAGAAAATGTATGATGATTCAGGATGTGGTCATTTGGTAAGTGGTAATTCATTCATGATTAGTATGTATATGACAATTGCCTAAAAAAAAAGATTGTAAAAAAAAAAGATTCTAAATTTTATTTAAATACTGAACTGTGGTATATCAGCTGTGAGCTACAAGAAGTTTTATGTAAAAGCTAGGGCTGAAACAATTTGCCCAGTATCAGCTGTGAGCTACAAGAAGTTTTATGTAAAAGATCCTCCATGTTATGTGTGTATTGCTATGATTGACATACAATCAGTTCTCTAATACACACACTTCAATAAAACTTTGTCGTCTTGAACCTGAATTGAACAGGAAAAAACTCTGAGATCTCTACAAAAATTTGAATGAAAAAAAGGAAATGCTTATTAACTGATTTCTTGCTGGTCAGTATTTTGATTACTTAAAGGAAGCTCTAAAAACTGCACACTAAAGAGTTCTACTTTAATATCAGGTAGTTTTATGAAGTTAAAGTGATCTGCCCATAGATTAAGATTATGAAAAATGTTATTTTACAGTCAGTTAGATTATTTTTAATAGATTAAATTATTTTTAGCATTATTTAAAAAAAGAAAAAAAAAAATATTTTCATAAATTTTCCAATGTAAGTAAACAGCAATGATTTCTGCTTACAGTCATAGTCCATTGTCTTTGAAAATTTCTTGGGGAAATGAGGCACATACTATATGTTCTAAATGAATAAAAAAGGCTCATTATGCACATATTTATATGAAATATGATAGATTTTTTTCTCTTCAAGGAATAATTTCTGCAAGTCACTAAGTTTTTAGAGTTTCCTTTATTTTATAGATATTCAATGAAATTATTTGAAGTATTAAATTTTGGTAAATTTTATGATACTAAAAGGTTATATGGATGAAAAAACAGCATGTGTGTATGACAATAGGGCTTAAATTTTTAATGTCTCTTAATTTTTCAGTGACATTAAAACAGGAATTGTCATCACCAGTAGACGAATTTCACATTCCTAAGAGCTTTCTCCAATTGTCGGCGTATCGCTCATTTTCCCCACTTTGTCCTTTGTAAGTTACTTGTTAATATTTTCAATCTTCAAAAATATTGGACAATTACGATCTGTATCTGTATTGCCAGAGTATGGGGGCAACATGAAAGTCATAATGAATATGTTCATACAGATTTTATTTCTAAGATATTGTCCCTCAAAGTTGATACGGTTAAAGAGGGAAAACAGCGTCTTAAGCCGGTTGACCCCAGATCGACCCTGCGAAGGGGAATAACTTTTGTAAATGTGAAAGTCCTTTGTGGTATATCATATAGATCTAAAACTGACTGAATTTTGATCAGCCAATTCATGAACATGATGAATGGATGTAAATAATGTTGGTCAATATATGTAAAAAAAAAAAATTAAATTACTTGTTTATATATACATTTGTGGTATCTCTCCCATTGAAGTTTATAAACTTGTTATTTATTTCTTAAATAAACTGAGTGTACATGCAATACCGGTATAAAATTACTCATAAGATACATGTATACTTAAACCATGATAAAATCATATGTGTCCAATGCAGCATATGATAAATCATTAACATACAAGTACATGTGTATATATACTGTAAAACATATATATTGCATTATTTTTAGGTCCTGTTCTGTGGATGCCCTTAGACAGTGTCTACCCATCACTCCATCTGAAATCACTTGTTCTGTGCATATTTCTCTCTCAAACTTAAACTACAGAGAGCCTGTGGATAGAGGATGAAGAGTGACCTTGGACTAATTTTCTAGGTCAAAGGTCAGTATCAAAATCTACTGTATATCTTTTTTTAAAATCGTAGTCCAAAGTGTATTTCTCCCCTGGTGTAATCTAGCTTTTGTGCAATGGGGTGGAGGGTCTGCAATGATCTTCAACCAATTTCTAGGTCGAATATCAAAATTAAAAAAAAATCTCTCCCTAATATTTTTGTTATTATAAAGGGTACTGTATACAGGGAAATTTTCGCCCCCGTTTCATTTTCGCCCCTTTCGCCCTACCCTCATTTGGGCGAATTTAAAACGGGGCGAGTTCAAAGAATACAGTAATATTTCGTTAACAATAACTATGACTGGGCGAATTTAAAACGGGGCAAAATTGTTCGCAAGTGTGAAAGGGCGAAAATAAGACGGGGCGAAAAAACCCTGTATACAGTATGTTTTCTCTCAAACTAATCAAACTGAAAGCAGGGTTCTTAGTATGAGATACATGTAGTAATATATTCTCAATGACATAATAAGGCTGAAAACATTATTTATATTATGTTATTTTTTTTCACTTATCATAAAGCATTAAATATTAAAGAGATACATTAAATGCTGAAATCATATGTATCATGGTCATGGAAAGTAATTATTGATATTGGTATATTAAAGGACATTGACTGATCTTTCAGATTTCTAAGTTATATTCAAGCATTATAATTCTGACATCATATAATAATTTTGTATGAATATTGCAGATCATAGGTGATGTGAAGAAAACCAGGAAACTGATGTTGAAAGAAGTACTTAATGACCCTTATGAATGGACTTAAATGTGAAAGACTGTTCCATTGTTTATCTAAGATATATGAATTTATTTAATATTTTGATATCATTGAAAAATTCAGTTACAGTTTTTGTACATCAAATGAATTATTAAACATATAAAATGGTAATGCTTTTTTCTTTTACATGTAATAAATTTTTTTGATAGATTTTTAAAGGAATACGCATTATTTCACATTGCTTCCTTTAGAAAAGTTAGGGAATCTTGAAGTTTCCCAGTAATTTCCACCAGGAATGGGACTCCAGATAATTCCACCAAGTTTCCGCCACACAGAAAGTGCTACACAAGTTCCATATAGTTTCCTGAGTCAAGGAAACTTCAGGAATCATAAGGTTTCACGAGCTTCCATGTAGTTTCCCATAAGAGAAAACCTTAAGATTCCATCAAGTTTCCATTCCACGGAAACCACTACGCTCACATTCCATATGGTTTCCTGAGTCAAGGAAACTTTAGGAATCGTGAGGTTTCCCGAGCTTCCATGTAGTTTCCCGTATAAGGAAACCTAAAGATTCCATCAAGTTTCCATTCCACGGAAACCACTACGCTCCAATTCCATATGGTTTCCTGAGTCAAGGAAACTTTAGGAATCATGAGGTTTCCCGAGCTTCCATGTAGTTTCCCGTAAAAGGAAACCTAAAGATTCCACCAAGTTTCCATTCCACGGAAACCCCCTACGCTCCGATTCCATCAAGTTTCCTGATTCTGGAAACCAGTGGAATCTTCAGGTTTCCCATTATGGGAAACTACATGGATGTTCGGGAAACTTCAGGTTTACAGAGGTTTCCGTGGTTCGGGATACCTTATGGAATCGGAGCGTAAGGGGTTTCCGTGTCATGGAAACTTGGCGGAATAACCTAGCATCCGCTACGGAAACCACTGGGAAACATGATGTAAACTTGAGGTTTCCATGTGGTTTCCATAAAGTTTCCCATGATGGGAAACCACTTTTTTCACCCAGTGAATATTTCACTCAGATGGAGACGCCTGCACTTGCCAGTGGAGAGCTGCAGAATATTGACCTATACTCGACACTCAGGACCATTCAATACTTAGACATCTTATTTGGCCAGCACCAACAAACCTCGGTTTTTACGGTCTTATTCAAAGGACCGGTCTCCACGTCATACAGTGAGTGGGATTCTGAACCCGCGACTTATGGATCAACTCCCTTCTCTGCGACTCTAGAGCAGACATTTTATCACTGCGCCACGTGGGCGACGAAAGCTACTCGGCAAATTTTTGTTCAGAATAATTTTGTCTTCTGATAATCAAATAAAAAAAAACATAATACAAGTTTATAATTTCCAAGAAACTAAGTGGACGTTAAAGTGTCACATTTTGGTTGTAAGTATCTATTTCAATTGTGTCAACAATGACAATTTTGTTTCATTTCATAGGTCAAATATGTTTACAAATACATGCCTTCATTTTCTGGTAAAACCAGTTATTGGATTGTGCACAAAAACAAATTTTGTACATGTTTTCTTTTTAGGGGACTACATCTGATGCATATTATCCGTGAAACGAGCTCAGAGGACCACATATGGACTTGCATGTCCTCAGGGAACCCAAATCATTACATAAACATAGTTTGGACTGCACCTGTATCATTTATCATTGAGTCAAATGCAAACTGACGTTTTCCATACTTACTTAGACCATTATTTACACACTTAACTCTCAACGGATTTTTCCGTATTTTCCCGATCATGAGAAGGAGCACACGGCGGGTGTGACCGGTCGGCAGGGGATGCTCACTGCTCCATGGGACATGATCCCACCTCAGGTGTTTTAGAGGTCCGTCTTTGCTCTGCTCCTATTTTGTATTGTTTTATGGACTTTTGAGATTGAATGCTGTTCGTTATCTCCATATATTTCAGCTAAGAACCAAAATACTTGCATTGACTCGTTGGAATCTCTTTTGTGAACGAAAATCGGTATGTGCATCTTCGCATTGCACTCGTGGAACCTGTTTCAACATTTACTGCATCAAGAACTCAAACTCTTTCGTCTTCATCTTGGAAAAACCAATGTAACAAGATAGCTGCATACTTCGAATTCATGCGCTAAGCCTATAACATTAAAAGCTAAGAATGTCTTTGGTGACGGTGATTGTATTGCACCCAGAGAACCATTACTGTAAAATGCGCCGTTCTGAATTATCATAAGGAACAAAATAGGTATATGCACTACGTCCAAAGAATTGTAAATACAATTCTTGTAAAGTGGTCTGAGGAACCCCTGGGTCTTCGGCTTTCATTAGCACCATTACAATTATCAAAAATAAACCTAAGAACTATTCATTTGTTACTTAATAACGTCATAGTTCAAAATTATGGGAGAAGAGAGGCGTGGTTTGAATAATGTACACCATATCAATATGGATAATTACGGCTTTGTTGTTCTTAAGAAGAAGATTTCAAAAGAGTCTTCCTTTACATTTCTATGTAAAATTTTAATTCCCTGCTGTTGTCCAACCTACCTCAGGTGTCAGGATTAGAATATGTTCAGAAGATTTTATAATAATGTACAGTATACACACCAAAATTATGTTCATGGTCGGTTTCAATCTCACTTCCATTTTGATTCTTATGAGGATGCTGCAATTAGTGGAATGTGTTCTAATTTATGACCTTAACTAATGTCAGGGTATTTATCCTTGATAGATATTCAAAGATATGTAATAAGGGGGAAAATACATTAACATTTAAAAAACAATAATGCAAAATGATTTAAAGAGTACGCTTTATTTGTTTCACAACACTAAAGAAATAAGAACTGGCATTTGAAACACTGATTGCGCCGAGAAGTTACTACAAAAGGAGTTAAAGTACAATACGTAATGTCAACTAAAACAATAAAAAAGAAATTCCAATTCTATACCCTAAACCTTTCAACTTCTTCCAAGGCTACACCAAAAATAGTCCTTTTGCAAAGAATTAAACAATTTGACAATTTTATTATAACTGCAATTGCAATTCTCAACAAAAAAGCTAAATCCTATTTACAAAAAGCTAATTCCTATTTAAACAAAGCAAAAGCATCTATCTTGAAGTACACTAGAAATGTAGCTTCTAATTCAATACAAAGGCACAGTTCTAAACATATAAAAGTCAACAAATCAATAAAGAAAATGAATAGAAAAAAAAAAGACTTTAAACTAAGTAAAACAAAACATCATTCTTCCAGATAAAAGAAAGTATTCAGAAATTGATATAAAGCAGAATAATCTTAACTTTGAAAATATGAATATTACAATTCGCTGGCATGCTTACATGTATGGCATTATGTGTAAAAACTGTTAAAAGCTTTTCAAAAACAAACAAACAAACAAAAAAACTTGGAATACTAGTATAAGAGAATAGAAATAACAACCAATACATTCTTAACATTTGATGTCTAAAGAAAATAATACAAAGACAGTGTGAACCCAGCCATTTAAGCAGCTGAAGTCTCATTGATTAATTGAATGTTGTTTAACGTCCCTCTCGAGAATTTTTTACTCATATGGAGACACCACCACTTGCCAGTCCGGCGGGCTGCTGCAAATTATTTTTTCCTATAGTCGGCACTCAAGGCCATTGAGCACGGAGGAATCTTTTTCATGCCAGCACATAGTGCGACACGGAACCTTGGTTTATACGGTTTCATCCGAAGGACCTGTCTCCACGTCCCACAGTGGGATTCGAACCCACGACGTAAGGATCAACTCCTTACTTCGCGACTCTAGAGCAGACGCTCTAGCCACTGCGCTACGCGGGCGACGCTGAACTCTGAGGGGAAAAATTACAATCACTTTGAACCCACACATTTTGGCAGTTGATCTCTAAAAGATTTACTTTGACTGGCATAAATAAAAATTTCGACGGGTTTGCTAACTGTAAATGTTAAATAGATGAACATAAGGAAAAGAGATATGGAGGAATAAACATAGTTGTCATCGATGACATTCATATTTATGTGGAGATAAATCATAATTAAAACTATTGGAAACTGTTGCATAACAAATGAGCTTCCTAAGAGGAAATTGACTTTTAGCAAACGAAGATATTTAACTTTATTGTTAGATCCGCCCATCATTAACACGTCCAGAGCTTTTATTTGTTTTTTCATGATAACATAGAGAGCAATGATACTGCCACTATTGATAAAAATAGGTATAATATAGAAATAAACCAAGTTGCTGAAAAACCCAAGAGAGTTTGTTTGGTAAAAAAAATCCCACGTACCTGCTTCATCAAAATCTAATTTACATGCATCTATGATTTTTAAGGGCTTCCCCGGAGAGAACTCCTGTATGGTTCTAATAGATGTCAAAGGTGCACCAACTGGAGTCATGAATTGTAAACTACATACGATGAAATGAATAAAAAACCAGAAACAAATTAACATCTTAAATCTGCCGTAGTAGTATTTAAATTTTATGGGAAAGACAAATATAAGGGCCTGGGTTAACGTTGCAAGACATTTGAGATGATTTGACGTTCCATGAAGTACTTTCAATACAACAGCGGATACAATCAGGAATCTGCAGATCTTGTATTCTATGAATCCATAATTCATGTCCATGTAATCTAGGAGCCCGTCTCGGATGCCCATGAACATCGTAAACAGAACATCGTTACACATAACCAGAATCAAAAAGATTTGTGCTGTACCAAAAAGTTTTCCTTTGTGAAACATAGTCCACATGAAAATGGTAGCACACAGAGGCAAAACCCACAAAAAAGGCGATACAATTGTCGCAAATTGTAAACCGAATTCACCATATATGGATGAAAATGTTAACGCCTGGTCTCTAGTAATTTTCTCGTTCATAAATCCATGCATTAAAGTGAAAAGTACGTGAGACGAATTTTGGAACGACATGAGGCCACTTTTCCCCAACAACTTAGATACTTAGATAGATGCGATCATTCTCTTTATATAATCAGCATTTTGCTTAATCACTATTTCAAGAAAGGGGAGTGACGATTTCAGATTAAATGTATCAGAGCTGAGGACGTGGAGTAACAATTTATAGACTTCTTAGACTGACGCATAATACTGTTTAAAAATATGGATGTAATGTAAGAGTACGTGTAAAAAAAATGGTTAAAGTATAACAGA